CCAGACAAGGGTGTATGCAGAATAGTATTGAATTGTGTCTACTTTTAATTGGTGAGACTTTTTAGATTTGGTTTTAGTTTTGGTGTGAAGCCCACTACCAAGGATAACTCACGAAAGTTATATTTCTAGTGGCCTATCTGGTGGTGAATTTGGCAGTGCACAGGGAGACAATGCGGTGGTAGAAGGTTGAAAGCATTAGTGTGAATAATTAATTCAACTGCATATTTACTATATTTTTTGAAATTTTTCTTTTCCATAGCTGTTAATGCTTGTGCTAATAACCTCTGTCAGAATGGAGCAGCTTGTAATGCTGTTGCTGGTTCCTGTACTGATTATACCTGTACCTGTCCAGCTTGCTTCACTGGAACATTCTGTCAAACAGGTAAGGCAATTCCTTATATTTGTCAAACAAGGTTTGGATTTTTTAGGAAGGGATGGACAAATAGAAGTTGCAGTTTGAAAGTATTATCATAAAAAAATATAATTCAAGTACTATTATCTTCAGGCTCTACCACTCTTAAGTCTTGGTTCCATTTTGAAATTTTAATATTTTTATATTGTATAGGTAATAGATATTTTTTACTTTGCATTTTCCTAGAAGGCACATATTAAACCTGTTGAAGGTGTATCCTCATAAAAATGGTTAATGGTTTTACATTTTTTGTGGAGGGCTAACCTTACATAAGATAATGTTATTTTATTATTTATAAACAGTTTGTTTTTACCTCAAAATTCTTATGATAACCACCTCTATCAGAACGGAGCAGCTTGTAATGTTTGGGTTTTTTAGGAAGTAGTGGACAAAGAGAAGGTTTGGCAGTGACAGTTTGAAAGCATTATCACAGAGAAATAATTCAACTAATATTATTACTATATTATTGATTTGTCTGAAAGTGTTAACTTTTTTTCTTTTCCACAGGTGTTGATGCTTGTGCTAATCATCTCTGCCAGAATGGAGGTGCTTGTAATGCTGTTGCTGGTTCCTGCACTGATTATACCTGTACCTGTACAGGTTGCTTCACTGGAACATTTTGTACAACAGGTAGAGCAATCCTTATATCTGTTACACGCTTAACTAGGAATGCATCCTAAATCAATTTAATTGTATCATTAAAAGCAATCATATAAACCTATTAAAGATGCATCCTCGTAATAACATTGAAAAATGAATTAAAAAATCTATTGCTCAATTTTAAAAAATCAAATAATTTATCCAATGGTAGTAAAGATTGAAACAATTCACACATTTCATTACTAAAATGCCTTAACTATAAACCATGCCAGACAAAGGTGTATGCAAAATAGTATTGAATTGTGTCTACTTTTAATTGGTGAGAATTTTTAGATTTGGTTTGGTTTTGGTGTGAAACCCACTACCAAGGATAACTCAACGAAAGTTTTATTTCTCATGGGCCTATCTGGTGGTGAATTTAGCAGTGCACAGGGAGACAATGCGGTGTTAGATGGTTGAAAGCATTAGTATGAATAATTGATTTAACTATATATTATTTACTATATTTATTTGAACTTTTTTTCTTTTCCATAGCTGTCAATGCTTGTGCTAATAATCTCTGTCAGAATGGAGGAGCATGTACTGCTGTTGCTGGTTCCTGCACTGATTATACCTGTACCTGTACAGGTTGCTTCACTGGAACGTTTTGTACAACAGGTAGAGCAATACTTATATCTATTAAACAGTTGGTTTGGATTTTTAGGAAGTAATGTAATGTGATTCGATTTATAAAGCACTTTATACCGCAGTCTCAAAAATCGCTTGAGGTGTGGACTAGCTCGCGCAGCAACTTTCTTCTCCCCTAAGGCCTTTGTGTCTGTGCTACCAGCTATCTCTCGCCTGTCCACAACAGGGGCTGTATGAACCAGTACACCGGGGTAACCCCCTACTTGTATAAATGGGTACCTGGTAGGAGGTGAATGATATTAGTAGTGCTGATTACACGCTTAACTAGGAATGCATCCTAAATCAATTTAATTGTATCAATAAAAGCAATTATAAAAACCTATTAAAGATGCATCCTCGTATTAACATTGAAAAATGAATTAAAAAATCTATTGCTCAATTTAAAAAAATCAAATAATTTTGTCCAATGGTAGTAAAGATTGAAACAATTCAGACATTTCATTACTAAAATGCCTTAACTATAAACCATGCCAGACAAAAGTGTATGCAAAATAGTATTGAATTTTGTCTACTTTTAATTGGTGAGAATTTTTAGATTTGGTTTGGTTTTGGTGTGAAACCCACTACCAAGGATAACTCACGAAAGTTATATTTCTAGTGGCCTATCTGGTGGTATATATGGCAATGCACAGGGAGACAGTGCAGTGGTAGAAGGTTGAAAGCATTAGTATGAATAATTAATTCAACTACATATTTACTATATTTGTTTTAACTTAGCTGTCAATGCTTGTGCTAATAATCTCTGTCAGAGTGGAGCAGCTTGTAATGCTGTTGCTGGTTCCTGCACTGATTATACCTGTACCTGTCCAGCTTGCTTCACTGGAACATTTTGTCAAACAGGTGTGATTTTATTTTAGTATTTTTCAAGTGATATTATTTATTAATGTTATATTACCATATATCAATGTATTAATATAGTCAGTGTATTATTCCAAGTCTCTCTTGGCTGGGCATAGATAAAATCAAATAATTTTACCCGTATGCGTGTGCTACAAGAGGTGATTATGTTATAGGTCCATGATCATATTAGATATATAAATATGTGATGAATGATACTAATTGTGTAATAATGTATAATAATAACAATAACAGCAAAGATAATAATAAGAGAAAATCTTTTAGACTGGACTTATTTATTTTGTGGATGAATAATAATATTTTAAAACACATAATATGTATTGATAAATGAATTACTATTTCAAGTAAATACAGTATAAGATTTTTATAAATCTTATTTACCAGCAACCAATCCATGCAGCAACAACTTGTGTCAAAATGGAGCGGCTTGTGTCGGTATCACCAACGTTCCTAACCAATGTAATCTTTACACATGTACATGTCCAGCTTGCTTTAGTGGAACGTACTGTCAAACAGGTAATAATTCAGTGGCTCTGGAGGCCCCTGGCTAAAGATATTTTGTTACCTACTACTCTTGAGGCTGGGTTTCAAGTAAGGCCCTATTTAGAAATTTTAATTTTTTTTATATTGTAGATTTAATAGATTGTTCATACTCTCCATTTTCCCAACAGGATGTAATGTGAGTGAACTAAACCAAATTAATTGTACATTAAAAGACACATCATGTTAAACCAATTAAAGATGTATCTTCGTAGTAATGGTTAATGGTTTAAATTTTTTGTGCAGGGGCAGTTTTAAGTAGGATAATTTTATTGTTTATAAAATGTTTGTTTTTAGTTCAAAATGCTTGTGATAACAACCTCTGTCAGAATGGAGCAGCTTGTAATGCTGTTGCTGGTTCCTGTACTGATTATACCTGTACCTGTCCAGCTTGCTTCACTGGAACATTCTGTCAAACAGGTAGATCAATTCCTTATATTTGTCAAACAAGGTTTGGATTTTTGAGGAAGGGATGAACAAAGAGAAGTGGCAGTTTGAAAGCATTTTAGTGAAAAAATATAATTCAAGTACTATTATTTTCGGGCTCTACCACTCTTAAATCTGGGTTCCATTTGGAAATTTTAATATTTTTTATATTGTATAGGTAATAGATATTTTTTACTTTGCGTTTTCCTAAAAGAAGGCACATATTAAACCTGTTAAAGGTGTATCCTCATAGAAATGGTTAATGGTTTTAAATATTGTGTGGAGGGCTAACCTTAGATAGAATAATGTTATTTTATTGTTTATAAACTGTTTGTTTTTACCTCTAAATGTGGCAAAGACAAGCCAAACCAGTCACTCGTCGCAAAAATTGATTTTTAGTTATTAATACAGTGTTAGAGAGTAAAATAATAGCTATAAAATGGTAACAAAATCATTCAAATTGGACATTTCCTTATGAAGTTACATGCGTTTAACCACACAGCTGTTTAAAGAACAATATATGAGAAATTAGCCGTCAAGGTTTATGATTTTAGGCATTTCTCATGCAGAAACTATATTTATATCCTTAAAAAGTATTGTTTTAACATTGAAAATGGGGAAAATAACAGCAGAGAATGTGTAGATATATAAAGGTTAGTTTAGTGCAATAAAATAGATTTTTAAAAATTTGACATTCCAGCATGTTTTGGCCATTTTCTCTGAAACACGATTTGCGACGAGTGACTGGTTTGGCTTGTCTTTGCCACAAATGCTTATGATAACAACCACCTCTATCAGAACGGAGCAGCTTGTAATGTTTGGGTTTTTTAGGAAGTATTGGACAAAGAAAAGGTTTGGCAGTGGCAGTTTGAAAGCATTATCATAGAGAAACATCTACATATTATTACTAAGGCTTTAAGAAATGGGGATTTCTGCACTGATTATACCTGTACCTGTCCAGCTTGCTTCACTGGAGCATTCTGTACAACAGGTGTGATTTTATTACTTAGTATTTTTTCAGGTGATATTATTTTATTAATTTTATATTTTATCAATGTATTAATATAGTAGTCAGTGTGTTTGTACTTCTTCTGGTTTTGTGTTAAGGTATCACATATAAAATCAAGACACCTTCTTTCCTACAGTTTTTCATTCTATCTATGCCTAACATCTACTTTTGAATTTACTGGCATTCACAGATGATTTCAATATTTTAAATGCTATTCGTTTATAGAACAAAAAACAAACTCAAACAAGCACAAAACTCAGAGTTGATTAAGGATTCATAGAATCTATAGATCTATAGAATCTATCTAATCTATAGAATTCCTGTAATTCTTATACTTGTATCTGTCCACCATGCTTCTCTGGTGCTCTCTGTCAAACAGGTTAAAAAACCTGAATGTTATTAATAACTCTAGTCCTCCTGAAGGTACTGACGGACTGAAGAACTGGAGGTGATTGAAAGCTTTGATTCTATTTCTGGCTGTTGATCTGCTGAGAGATACAATACGATACAATTTATGAACCATCAAAAAAACACATCAACATAAATCATTTTCTTGCAATGTCCAGCTCAAGATGTTAAATATGTAGTGGTCACCTTTGTCAGAGTGCTTGTAATGCGTTGCTGGGTCCTGTACTCTTTTCTAACCTAAGTATTTTACATTGTAGAATTATTTTCTTTTATGTTTATGTCATGTTAACTGTAATTGTATTGTTTAAGTGATTGATTGTATGCGCTCTGGGGGTCGGCTTGCTTGTATATATGTCACTTATTACTATTATTATTATTTACACCTGTACCAACATGTTACACCTGTTATTTCTGTACAACAGGTACAAAACTCATATCTGCCAAACAATTGTTTTGGGTTTTTGTGAAGGGACAGGTTTAGATAGGAGAATGTAATGTAAATGTTCATATTTTATTGTTTATAAATGTTTGTTTTAGCGCAAAATGCTTGTGGTAATCATCTCTGCCAGAATGGAGGTGCTTGTAACGCTGTTGCTGGTTCCTGCACTGATTATACCTGTACCTGTCCAGCTTGCTTCACTGGAACATTTTGTACAACAGGTAGAGCAATTTTTTATCCAGTCAACCGTAGAACTTTCTTCTCCGCTAAGGCCTTTGTATCTGAGCTACCAGCTATCTCTCGTCTCCCCTACTTGTATAAATGGGTACCTGGTAGGAGGTGAATGATTCTGAATGATATTAGTAGTGCTGATTACACGCATAACTAGGAATGCTTCCTAAATAAAATAATTGTATCATTAAAAGACACATATTAAACCTCGTTTCTCGTAATAACATTCAAAAATTAATTAAAAAATTAATTGCTCAGGTAAAAAAAATCAAATAATTTATCCAGTCATAGTAAAGATTGAAACATTTCAGACATTTCACTACTAAAATGCCTTAACTATAACCATGCCAGACAAAGGTGTATGCAGAATAGTATTGTATTGTGTCTACTTTTAATTGGTGAGAATTTTTAGATTTGGTTCAGTTTTGGTGTCAAACCCACTACTAAGGATAACTCAGGAAAGTTATATTTCTAGTGGCCTATCTGGTGGTGAATCTGGCAGTGCACAGGGAGACAGTGCAGTGGTAGAAGGTTGAAAGCATTAGTATGAATAATTAATTCTACATATTATTTACTATATTTATTTGAACTTTTTTTCTTTTCCATAGCTGTTAATGCTTGTGCTAATAACCTCTGTCAGAATGGAGCAGCTTGTAACGCTGTTGCTGGTTCCTGTACTGATTATACCTGTACCTGTCCAGCTTGCTTCACTGGAACATTCTGTCAAACAGGTAGAGCAATTTCTTATAGTTGTCTAACAAGGTTTGGATTTTTAGGAAGGGATGGACAACGAGAAGTGGCAATTTGAAAGCATTATCATGAAAAAATACAATTCAAGTACTTCGGGCCCTACCACTCTTGAGTCTGAGTTCCATTTTGAAATATTTTTTATATTGTATGGGTAATATATATTTTTTAATTTTCATTTTTCTAAAAGAAGGCACATATTAAACCTGTTGAAAATGTATCCTCATAAAAATGGTTAATGGTTTTAAATTTTTTGTGGAGGGCTATCCTTAAATAGTAGAATGTTATTTTATTGTTTATAAAATGTTTGTTTTTACCTCAAAATGCTTGTGATAACAGCCTCTGTCAGAATGGAGCAGCTTGTAATGTTTGGATTTATTAGGAAGTATTGGACTACGAGAAGGTTTGGCAGTGGCATTTTGAAAGCATTATCATAGAGAAACAATTCAACTACATATTATTACTATATTGATTTGTCTTTTTTTCTTTTCCACAGGTGTTGATGCTTGTGCTAATCATATCTGCCAGAATGGAGGAGCGTGTAATGCTGTTGCTGGTTCCTGCACTAATTATACCTGTACCTGTCCAGCTTGCTTCAATGAAACATTTTGTCAAACAGGTAGAGCAATTCCTTATCCAGTCAGCCGTAGGCAGACTGGATTCTGCTTTCTTAGCATTCTTCTTATGATTACCCAGTCAGCTGCAGGCTCAACTCGTACATCAGGCTCATGTAGACATTTTTAAAACAGACCCTAAAGTATTTTAATGTAGTCACTAATAATAATTTAAAGTCTACTTCTGTCACAAATAACATAGCACAGTCTTGTCCATTGCACATATACATTGGCATAATGCATGGGTCTTTATGATGTTCATGAATAAAGCGTCAAACGTCATTAAAGGGTCATCTTTCTTTTTGGCAATATTATTATAACTGAATAAAAAAACTGTTGAGTTCCCTGTTTCTATATTAAACATTACTCAAACGTGTCGAATATATACTCTGAAGCAAATACGTGGGTTTTAATAAGTGTATACTTTTTATTGTGTATCCATCCTTCATGCGTCACAAGTGCAGCAGCATACAACTTGTAAAAGATAAGCTCAGTGTGCGTGTACTGTTATGAATATTTAATGAGGGTCTTGTTTACTATTAAAGACGTTCACCATTTGTGTGTTGATAGATGATCCAATTGAGCTCTGATTTACCAGGAATGATCTGACTGGGTTCATGTTCTATTATTATTTCTAGTTATATCTGTTAAACAATGTTTGGATTTTTTAGAAAGTGGCAGTTTGAAAGCATTAATTCAACTAGGCCTACATATTATTACTATATTGATTTGTCTGAAGGTATTAACTTTTTTTTCTTTTCCACAGGTGTTGATGCTTGTGCTAATCATCTTTGCCAGAATGGAGGAGCATGTAATGCTGTTGCTGATTCCTGCTCTGATTATACCTGTACCTGTCCAGCTTGCTTCACTGGAACATTTTGTACAACAGGTAGAGCAATTCCTTATAAGTTTTCAAACAAGTTTTGGATTTTTTGGATAGGTGGGGGGAGGGGGGTGGAGGTTAGGTTGCAAAGAGAAGTTGCGGTTTGAAAGCATTATCCTGGAGAAATAAAATTCAAGTACTACTATATTGATTTGTCTGAACGTGTAAAGTTTTTTTTTTCACAGTTGTTATATGCATTTGTCAATTGTAGTATCGGCCTCGACCCTGGACCGCGGCCTAGCGGGACTTAGCCGGGGATGTAATTTCCGAAATGGTTACATGCATGTGAAAGTCCTGGCCACCTCCCGGCAATGCAGGACATTGTTTTAACGAACATCCGCGGCTAAGTTCGCCACTACTTACCGCTGTAGTCCCGATATAATGCCCCGCTAATAAATGATTGGATGATAAGACTTACTTGAAGGTCTAGCCTTGGTCTGAATCGGAGAAACACATGAGAGCTAGGCAGGAGCTAGGCCAAGGAGATGAGCTTGCTTGATGGAAGCACTATGCATGCGTATCACTAAGCAGATTTACATGTAAGTTTGAAAAAGTGCGAAAAAAAAGGGGTGTATTGACAGATTAATCGTAGAAAAAGAAAATAATTGATTGATTGATTTAACTGATTGATAGAATTTAATTATTGAATATCAAAACAGAAATTAGGCCTAAATAAGAAAATGAATACATGTAGTAGAAACAGATTTCCTTGCCTTGGCTCATGTACTGGCGTATTTTTGACGCAAACTAGGTAAAAAAATTCACGGTTCACAAATTTTCATGCAACGCACGCACACGTGATACCATCTCGGTTCTCGACGTTGTGTGGTTGGAGGTTCAAATTTTATTATGTAATTTATACTGTGATCTATAAAAAACGAAACCATGATGGTAGGCCTAAAGTACCGGAAGGCGATTTTTTAATTACACACAGTAGTTGCTGACTGAATGCAGCCTAGTGTAGGCGAGGTAGGACCGGATCTGGTTTAACAGTACTAGGCCTAGGCCTACACACCCGAACCTGCAGCTACTCTACCGTGTAAAATTCCCGAGGCCTGTCACATCTACGGGTAAATTTTAGGTTCGTCCCTGCACTACGGGGACACAACTATATGTACATCCCCAGCTCAGTCCCAATGCCCCGCTATTGCCCGGGTCGGGAGTGGGGGGGCGGGACTACAATTGATAAGTGCAATTATGCTTGTGATAACCACCTTATATGCATGACACCAAGGAATATAGATAGAGGAAGAACGAGAGCAAGCCCAAAATCGTGTAATCAACCGAATTGCATGATGGGAGGCCAATGGAGATAGAGAGTTAGATCTTAATATTATGTATTTATTAAATATTCTAGGTCTATCTATTCTTGTAATTATTGCTTAGACCTATATAATAATTGGATAGGGTAGGCTAGGCTCCTAGCTTTCAAATAAAAAAAAAAAAACATTACATTGTACACTACAGTTGTCCAGATATTGGTGGCAGACCTGGTAAGAGTACTTCGAAATATTTCAAGGTATGTGAATGTCGACGAAAGAAAAGACCAGGAGCAACTGTTCACTAATAGGATGCAAGTAAGTGGGTATACCAGATGAGAGATGAGGTGCATAGAAGGGGGATGAAAAGATTAGATAAAATGATGAAAAAGGATAAGGATGGTGAAGTACCGCTATGTAGGTCCTTGGAGAAAGGGACATAAAGAAGAATGAAAAGAAGAGCAGTTAGTACACAAAAGGGGGACACGAAACAGTAATGTTCATAGACGCAATCCCAGATGGGCAAATGGCAAAGGATGTCTCTAGGATAATGAAGTCAAGTAGATTGAACATCAAAGTGATTGAGAGATCAGGAGAAAATGTCAAGAGCATATTAGTAAAGTCCAAAAAAAATTAGATGTGTGGAAGATAAATGTTCCATATGCAAAGAAGGAGGCAAGGTTAATTGTAAACAAAGAAAAGTGGTGTATAAAATGCAATGCAGTGGATGTAAAGGAAGCAACGAGGAGCTATATATAGGAGAGACGGCAAGAAGCCTAGGAGAAAGATATAACAAACATATAGGGAAATATAAGAAAAAAGATAAGTGGGTCGGAATGGCTAAAAATAAACAATATAAAACAATCTTAATTTAAAGCCAAGTAATTATCATTATTATTCTTATTATTATTATTATTATTATTATTATTATTAATAATAATAATAACTATTAACATTTTTCCAACCTGGTCAGGATCAATAAGTATTTATGATCACATACTACGCTATATATGACGTATCCATTTTACACTAAAATATAAATGGAGTTGTGAGGTGTGTGTGCGTGTTTGTGTATATGTGTGTATGTACGTGCATGTGTATGTATATATATATATTTATATGTATGTATGTATATATTATGATATTATGTACTGTATGTATGGGTGTATATGTATATAAATGTATATATACATGTGTATATATATATATATGTGTATGTATATATATATGTGTATGTATATATATGTATATGTATATGTATATATTAGACTTGCCACAATTTGTTATTATTTTTCTCATTCTGGACAGCGCCAGTGCAATTTTCTTCTATAAAAAAAAGTAATCTTATGAAATTCAATTAATTTTTCTTTTAATGTTGTTTTATATTGTAATGAAGTATAAATACATAATTAGTGTGAATTGTGAACACATATGTAAATATTGGTGTGAGGAGAGAAAACGAAAAATTGAAAATAATGAAAAAAGAGGACAAATAAAGGTGGGTGATCCCCACGAAAGACCAAAAAAAAAAAAAAAATGGCTAACGCTGCTGGGGCAGATGCAGGATTTGGTAGTAGGGGGTGCGTGAGAGTCGACACCAAACCTCAGCCCCACGTGGGGCTGAGGTGCAAAAATTGTAATATATAGACCTCGAGGTGCCCGGAAATTTCACTCTCGTACCTAAAAAATCTTACTGGTAATTTATATCAACAATAAAATCAAACAATTATTTTTCTTAATATTTTAGAGGGTGTGATCGCAGCATCTGCACCCCCACCCCACCTGCATCCACCCCAGTGCAGTACTGTACTGTATTAGATTTCTCCCTGTATGTATGTATTTCAATATACAGTATCATGTACGAAACTACAAATACAAGTATAAACTTGTATAAATACAAGTGAAAATTTGTTATTGATAATTTAGGCCTACATTAAGACAAGCCATTATAAAATAAATTTCAATCAACAGCAGATCATGTAATTGTTATGTTATTAGATAATAGGAAATAAAAGGCAACTGATACAAACATAGGCTTATATACATATTAATATGGTTTACCTAAATATATATAATTGTCTTGAAGTGTACAAAAAGATAAATAAAAAAAAAAATAATAGTATATACTCTATATACTTGTATAAAAATTACGTATTATATAAATAAATTTAATGTTTAGAAAAAGCCGTCCTCTGCAAGTCGAAAATGGCATCGCAAGCAGCCCACCCTTACCTTATTACCTGTAATTGTTATTGAAAAAAACAAAAACAAAAAAACCGCTACAATTCTGTAATGAAAAATATGCTAGCTGCTCGTTCTTCCTCTCTCTATATACTTTGATGACACTTATCAAAACTATGAACAATAAAGCATTGATTTAACACTTGTTCAGCCACCACAATCTAGCGAGCAGGAACCAGACGGGTTCCTGTACTCTTCACTCTTATACCTGTCCAGCATGTTACTCTGGTGCTTCCTGTATAACAGGTAGAGCACTTCTATATCCATCACACAAGGTTTGGATTTTTAAGGAAAGAGTGGTAGAAGTGACATTTTGAAAGCATTAGTGAAGAGTATAATTCAAGTACATATTTTTACTATATCAATTGTTTTAACGTGTAAAATTTTTTTTCCACAGGTACTAATGTTTGTGATAACAACCTCTGTCAGAATGGAGGTGCTTGTAATGCTGTTGTTGGTTCCTGTACTGATTACATCTGTACCTGTCCAGCATGTTATTCTGGAACTTTCTGTGAAACAGGTAAAGGCTTTTTGTGCTTCAGTTGGGGCTAATTTGTAAAATTTGAAAACAACTTTCCGAAATAATTTTCAGCTAAACTAAACCATTATATAAAATATCAGTATAATATTGTTTTCTTTTTTATTACATTTGTTCTTAAGCTGAAACGTGTGAAGATGACCCATGCCTAAATGGAGGTTTATGTTTTCAGGTGGATAGTGAAAATTATTGTGCATGGGCTGGTTGCTATAAAGGCCTGTTTATACATACAATGATAACGATAACAATAAAAAGCTAAAAATCAGTTGTTCATATAGAAAATAAAAGAAAAAGAAGAAGTATTCACAGTAAGACGATTCGATAACGGTTTATCGTGTATACGATAACAAAATATTTTGGCAAATCAATTTAAATGACGTCATAATCATGGAAGAACGATAGTCGTTGCTACTACTATTGTTTTTATTGTAGGTCTTTTAAATTCTATCTGTCTTTTGAATATTCAATATTTTACATGTTTTATTGTATTTATGTTTGATCGAAGTTTATTTAAGAGTTTAAGAGTTCTCCCCAACGTGGACCCTTTCCAATTCCCCACTGAAAAACTTTAGTTAAAGACTGGAAAGAGGAAAAAGGGAGTGCACCCATGAGTTCAGTGGTGATCCAGCAGTGGGAGAAAGGAGAGCTCGATTGTTTACCACTTATTTACACCAACCCCCTTCCCCATTGGTGGGTTTTGGGGGGGGGGTGTGTCTGGGGCCCTTGGGCAAAAAGAAAAAAAAAATTCTAGACCATACCTTTTCAGGACCATTGAGCTGAATTTTTTTTTTTGATACAATAAGAAAATTAGAAGTTGGGAAAGCTCTTTCCCGCTATCTAGGAATCAAAATTTTCTTGGCGGCGGACTTCCAACCCCTTTTTATTTTTGGGGTTCATCGATTCATGAAAAAAAGGATATGTATGCAACGTATGTATAACGGTACACACATAATAGCCTATTTACTGTAATAAGAATGAGAAAAATTTACCTGATCGTTTTGAAGTGGGAAAACCTTGAATTTTGAAGAACTAAAAAGTCGTTAAAAGACACTTCAAAAATCGGGAAATCATTTTCCCTTGGAGAACCCAAACCCGCCTTTATCTTTGGGGTTCATTGATTCATGGAATTGTTTTCAGGGTGGGGGAACCTTGAATTTTGAAGAGGGTCAGATGAAGACGATACTGGTATTAATATTCCAAACTACATTGAAAATGAATATGCAAGTGTTGACGATTTTATATCAAAATATTCTCTAAATAAACAATTGTAAGAAAATTCTAGTGTTTGTTAATGTTTACTGTTACATAAATGATCTAATTTATCATTATATATTTACAGTACCATAATATGACATTGATTTCATGTATTAATATTAATATTGTTTGTTATATTTATTCATTTACTAATACACTTATCTATAGAATGATTCATTAGTCAATCAGTTGCTTAATGATTAGACACTTATTTGACTAATTAATATATTGATTGATTACTGTATTTATTTATTTATTTTTTTTTTTTTCAAAAGGGCACCACATTTTAAAGCTTTATTTGCTTGTTTGTGGTTGTCCTATTCCATTTAATTTCATTTGATGCATATGAATTGTTCTGTTTTTAAATGTTACTTGATTTGGAATAAATTACTTTTGAATTGAATTGAATGAATTGTTTTCAAAAAGGGGAAAACCTTGAATTTTGAAGAACTTAAAAGTGCAGAAGTCGGAAAAGCTCATTTCCCACCATTTAGGAATCAAAATTTTCCCAAGGAGGACTCCCAGACCCCCTTCAGCGTACTTTAGTGGTATGGCCTGTGAGTTAAATTATATCATGGTTAATGTAATGTTTAAATATATCTTTTTGGGGGATTGCTTACTCATTACTGCAGCTGCTGAATTCCAATTATTAAAGTACTGTACAATAATTCCCATGCAATCCACATCTTAGGTGCGAGTGCTTGTGATAATCATCGTTGTCATGTTAATGCTACCTGTCTTGCTCTTGAAGTACCTGGTACCTGTTCTAACTACCTCTGTATGTGTCCTCCATGTTACTATGGTCAATACTGTGAAACAGGTAAACTCAGCACAACAAGCTATATCAAGTATGATAAAAACATTTCTCAAAATATTAATAATTTTTGCTTTTCAGGATTTTGTTATTCAAACTAATTGTGTCCTCCATGTTACTATGGTCAATACTGTGAAACAGGTAAACTCAGCACAACAAGCTATATCAAGTATGATAAAAACATTTCTCAAAATATTAATAATTTTTGCTTTTCAGGATTTTGTTATTCAAACTAATTTACCACTTAATTCTGATAATTTTGCTTTGCTTGTTTGTTTCTTTGTTTATTATTTATTGCCCTCATTATTATAATATCAAAACAAAAAACAAGTTACATGAAAACACACAAAAATGGGAGCAAGAGGAAAACCCTATAAGCTCTATGAGCTTGTTTCCATAGGGGTCCTCGACCAATAAAAAGAGAAGCAAATATTTAAAAAAAAAAAAATTTAAGTTTTTATTCAATGTTTTTTAAGTAAATATTTAAATGTATCGCTTGCGGTGTTGTTAAAAAATACACCGTCTTAGAATATAGCCCTATTACAATTATTTGTTTTCTATTTCATAATTGGTTTGTTATGTTCATGCTTCTGCTAGAATTGGTTGATATCTGTATGCACAGCAAATGTGTAAATGGAGGAACCTGTGTTGCTGATGCTGATAACTGTATTCTTTATACTTGTGATTGTCCTCCTTGTTTCACTGGTAGTCTCTGTCAATTAAGTAAAACTGAAGTATTGTGAGTCCCGACTGTCACAAACTTTGTTTGATTTTTCCACAGCTGTTGCTGATTGTACATCGAGCTCCAATACAAACTGGCAACCTAACACTGTGGCTTTCATTATTCTCAACTGCGTTTTGACAACTTTGTTTACAAATTACCAATATATGTCATGAACACTCTATACTATATATATATGTGTGTGTGTGTGTGTGTGTGTGTATAAATAATATTGTAGATCAAATATAAACTACAATAGGTTCCTAATATTTTGCTGACCTTCCTGTTGTTTTACTTAATGGGTTATTACTAAACGGAAGATGGATGTATGATATATTAACAATATTGAACTATTTAAATTAGTAGAACTAGAAGTTGTTTTAATTCCGAATTTGTACCTTCTAATAGGTTTTTATAGGTACATGCTCTCAACTGTATTTTGACAACTTTATTTTGTTTTAAAAAACATGAAAAATATGCCCTTAAAATGCTCTGAAATTGCAAGCTTTTATGGCGTACACCATTGCTCTACCCCAAGTTAGTAGGTTTAAGGAAACCTTAGCCATGGGCCCCAGGCCTCTTTGTTATGCCACTGCATTGCCACTGCAGATTTTTGCATTTCATTCATTCATATCAAGTACTAATGGTATAAATAGCAAAAGTTAGTGGCACAAAAATGAGATAAAATTTCAAACAGCAAATTTTAATGTTTATTGAATTGAATCCAACTATTGTTATGTCTCCTAAAAATCAAGCAAAACAAGGAAGACAAAAACATTTAACATACAGGTATAAAAATTATATAAATGTGAATCGAAAAGATTTGGTAACATCAAAACTTTAATCATTTTCATAAAATAAAAAAAACATTAAATTAGTTTTTAGCACAAATTATATATTAATTATTTGTAACAATATTGAATACCGTATCACTGCAGTAAATTGAGCTTGGTAAGGAAATGAAAAATTGTTGTTATGGGGATAAGAGACTTGAGCGCTAAGTTAAATTTTAGATATAGGAATGTGAATCATGATTTTTGAAATACAACACATCTCACCAGGGACGTGTTCATGTGGGAGCCGTGGGGATTATATAACAGCTTTACCGCTAAGGGGGATGAAATCAGCTTATTCGCTTTAAATCCATGAGTCCCAAGCCAGGTCTTTTAACATACAGAAATGTGATAATGTATTGGTCAGTTTTGTTTTTATTCTTTTGCAAGCTTTTATAAAGTTTAATAATACTACTGTAAAGTAATAATAATGTGGATGACGATAATGATGGTGACAATGATAATAGATAGGGTAACAATATTAATAATATTGAAGAAAATTGTGCTAAAAACGAAAAGGAAATTTGTAATTTATCCAATCATTATTGTTATTGTAGTTAAAGCTTAGTCAGGCCTAAGTTGTCCTGGGTTACCTGCTTGCCGATAATCCCTGATAAAACATCATGAGGAATTTGTTGGTGCTTCATTTTCACTAAATGATGGTGATGTGATGATGAATTTTACTATATAAAAGTGTCATTTACGGCCATGTAGAGGTACTTTTTCCTCTAGATTTTTTGTTCAAATTTGAAAACAAGTAAAACCTTGATTTTTATTACTTGTATATTCAAAATCAGACTATTCATTTAGTTCATCATTGGTAGCTTTTATAATAAATTGGGATAATAAAAATGTCTTCTAAAGCGTGTTTATTATAAGATAACCAGTTCACATTTTTAAATGTGTGGATCCTGGGTTCGATTTTTGTCAGTGTTGCAGGCTTTTTTCTCACGACCAAGACAACTCCAATTCCTTAAACGTCATATTCAGATTTTTTTTTGTGTAAAGCATCATGTGTGTATGTCTGTCTTCTGAAAGGGATTGTCACCTACAAATAGGAAAGTGATATATTCGCTATTGATAATATTTAATGAAAATAAATAACCTGCTAAGACATACCACACTTCAATTATTGTAAAAAAAAAAAATTGAACTAGTAACATATAAATAAAGCTGGTCCTTGGAAGATTCAGTTTAGTTCAATTTATTCTTTATCATTTCCTCATTAAAACAATAAAATAGTTAATAAATTACATGTATTAAAATACATTAAAAACTTTGTTTAAAATGTTTGGGAGCCATTTCAACCCAAAGAATAATAGTAATATAAAGTAATCTAAATTTACTTACTTTTACTTTTTCTTTTGCTAATTCTTAAAAGAAGCAAAAACTCAACAGTTTACCTACATTTTCCAAAAACATGAAAAACTTTTAAAAAGAAAAGAACTGATTTGGATAAAAATGTTGTTTTACATCTTCCTCTGATCACATGGCTAACAACGACCTCTATGAACCATTTAAATCCACCTACAGAAAACATCATGGGACCGAAACTTTACGCGCCAAAAATAACATTTTATGTATAATTGATGATCAACACTTTGCGTTTTTAGTCTTGTTGGATCCGTCTGCAGCCTTTCACGCCACAGACCATGGTGTCCTGCTGTCGCGTGTTTCATCTATCAGTGTCAGAAGCAATGCCCTTAAATGGATAGCCTCGTATTTAAGTAGACGAACACAGGCAGGCTCATACGCTACCAGAAGTCCACATTTTCAGGACTAACCCTTGCACGTTCCAGAAACCCATCAACCACACCTCCCTGGCCAGTCAGAGCAGTTTCCAACTAGGATCCCCTCTAATTCGTCGAACAAGCAACGTACTTTTCTGTATTATTTAACTTTTTAGAGGAATTTGAGTGTTTTTCCCCGCCGCTTGCGTGTCAATGACTCACTGCGATCAGACTCATCTTCTAGGTTTCAATAAAATCATCTTTATTGTCGTTTGGAAATCATGCTGATACAGCAGTTGCAATTCGACATGGCGAAGGTCAGAGCAAGAAATATTTTTAATACACAAGGAAAATGAGAAAATTAGGGAAGGTATGTTATTTTCTTAAATAATAATCATTAAATAAGGTAAAGTATTGGTGTGAAAGGAAGTAATAATCACCAGATAAACAGTCGCATGCGACGTAGTAGGCCTAATAATTCTCATTTATATACATATATAAAAGTTTAAAGACAAAAAATGAGAGGTTCAACAGTAGCTTTGATTAGACATATTTATTACTATTTAGTTTCGTGCTACGCATACATGGTGCAGCACTCTTCAGATAAAATAGTCTAATGACTAAGATTATCACAAATTGATTAATTGTAAGACCATGGACCTATTAATAGGTCCATGACTTTATAATGGTCGTAAATTGCACTAGAGTTTGGTTGGGTGATAGGCCTATGATACAAAGTTTTTAAGAGATATTTGTTAGCATGTCCACAAGCTGTGACAAGTTCGTTTCTCCTGTTTAAGGTAGCCATGGGGGACTTGCATATTATAAAGTACTTTTCCCATAAGCACAAGTTGCATCTTTTAGACATTATAAAAGTTTATATATGTATGTGGACGACACACAAATTTACTTATTTTTTGATCTACACTGTTATGGATCTGAAGCTAATGCCCGCAAACAAATGGAAATATATATTACTGATATCAAAGTCAACAAAACAGAGTCCATACCTCATGGGTGTATACAAGTGGGGGG